ATCTAAGTATAAAAGAAATTACATTACTTGAACTGTTGAGGAAAGGTGTAAAATGGAAATGGGACCAGCGAAGAGAACTAGCATTCCAAGAAATCAAAAACATTTATCTGTCAAATTTAAAAAATATACCATCCTGACTATACAAAGCCATTCATATTAAGAACAGATGCCTCAATAGAAAGATTATCAGGGGTATTACTACAAATACATGATGGGGTCGAATACCCGATACAATTCATATCAGGAATTACAAAGCCACATGAAAAAGGTTATTCAGTGTCAGAACTAGAACTAGCTAGTATCATACACTGTGTCACAAAATTAAGATTTTATTTGTTGGGTGATGAATTTACTATAGAAACAGATCACCAAGCTTTAACATCTATATTAAATAACAAATATGGAAACAGTCGAGTACATCGTTGGAGCCTAATACTGAGTGAATACAGTTTTGAAATCAAATACATTTCTGGAAAATCCAACATAGTGGCAGATGCTTTGTCAAGGTTAGAAAAGACATCACAAAAAAGGCAGCGAACAATAAAAATTGGATTAAATCAGTTGGTAGAAAACACTGGATTATATTCTAAAGAAGAAATCATAAGAGATCAAATCAATTTGAATGAAAAACAAAAAGTCCTTAAGAAAAATGGGGTGTTTTATAAGATAATTAATGGCTTAGAAGTGTATGTTATAAGTAGAATTTTGGCAAGAAAGATATTGAAAGATTTACATAAAAGTTACATGCATATTGGTTCAAGAAAACTATGGATGTTATTTAGAGATAATTATTTTGCAAAGAGTGACATAAGTATAGCAAAAGAAATTACTACATAATGCCAAATATGTCAAATAAACAAAGAAAAGAACTTCAAAAACCAGAACACATATAAATCCAATGTTGCTTATGGAAAACTAAATACAGTTGCCATGGATTTCATCTCAAATTTAGTTCCCAGTCCAACAGGAAACAAACATACATTAGTGATAGTTGATTTATATACAAAATTTATTAAACTATATCCATGCTCAAGAACAAATGTTAAAACATTGAAATTATATATTAATCAGTTTTTCGAAGAAATAGGACCATTTAGAAATTGCATAATAGGTAACGCTACATATTTTAACAATCAAAAATTTCAGAAATTTTGTGAGAAAAAGGGGATCAACATTCATTTTACAAGTATTAGACATCCTCAAGCAAATCCTGCAGAAAGATATATAAAAGAAGTTATAAAATATTTAAGGATACTATGCCAAGGTGAACAGGTCACATGGCAGGATTATATCGAAAAAGTGGAATATTTTTTAAATAATACACATAATTTAAACACAGAGGAAGTACCAGAATATTTAATGTTTGGTCATATAGGAAATAGAAAGTGGATTTCTGAGTGTACGCAAGATATGTTAGAACAAGTCATGCAAAAGGTGAAATTCAAAGAAGAATTCAAAGAAAGGCTCAAAAATATATCAGAAGACAAAATCGAACAATTAAAAAACCAATCACATTTCAAAAAGGAGACAAAGTTTCAATTCGTTCACTTAGACAAGGGAATTAAAGAGAAAACCGTTGTAAGAAATTACAACCACTGTTTGAAGGTCCATACATAGTTCAAAACCAGAATGGACTGAACAGCTATGTGTTGATAGATGCACAGAATAAACTTAGAGAAATTTTTCATATTAATGACATTTTTAAATATTTTGAAGAGATGAAATAATGTTTTATATACTTTTAACACTGTTAACATCACAAACAGTTCACTAAATACTTAACTCTATTTCATTAAACAATCTTGATTGTTGACAAGACAGATATGGTAAATCTAATCCTTGTGGGATAATGTATCAATTAAATTGACATCATGTCTTGAGCAGCTATTGAATTTGTCCTTGGTTTGGGTCCTAAAAACCATAAATTTAATTAGAATTAAGTATAAAATCACTATCATATAATTTACAATAATTTATAATATAATTTGAATTGGTGTTATATATTCCCAGAAGATTAATTTTGTAAATATTTTTCTACTGACAGATGAAAAGTAAAACTTACCATTTATACCAAAGAAAGTCTTTAGAACCAAAAGAAAGAATTATTTCCTAAATCTAGTCTATTAATAAACAAACATAGTGTAAAAACTTATTAGTTAAATAAACATATGATTTGACATCTGTCATTTGACATGACAATTTGATCGTTGACATGAAACAAACTATACATAGCCGTAGTTAAAGGCAATTTTAGATAAAAAATTAAATTATTGAATTATATTAATTAATATATTTACAAAAGTGTATGGATAGGAAAATTAATTTTTAAAAAATAATAAATGAATTATTTATTTTGAAATGAATTTTGGGGTATTGTAATGAGAACAGAAATACAATAAATTAACATAGAAATATATACAACCAGATATACAATGTTAATTAATAAATTTATTTAAATAGTACTTAAAGACATAATTTATAAGTTATATACTAGATAATATTATTAAAAAATAATTATATGAGGGTATTTTTAAGAATTTAGCATAAGAATTAAGTTTAGTAATTTTTTAATTTTATTTTATTTAATATTAGATATGTTTAAGTCAGCCAGGTGCATATGCAACCAAACATACACTGTGTTCTTTGACGTTTAGATGGAAAAGTGGGGTTATTTATTTTTGTAATGTTAATTTAGAATATAATTGTGGATGTAAAATAGTAAAAATATATTTAATATAAATGTTTAAGTTACATATACATTCTGATCTGGAGAGCCTAAAGTCAAGTAAATTGTATAGGTTATTCCACGAATATACGACTGTTTGGAATTATTGCTACAACGAATATTTTACTGTACAAGTAGAAGTATGAAAGTAAATTGGTCTAATTATTATTCCATAAAAAAGGATCTTCTGTTACTATGACATATAAACTAAAATTATTTCAGTTAATAGATGTTCAGATAGACGCAAAATTTATTGTGAAAATTATTCCGAAAATAACAAAAAAAATTATGTAAACGCTTCTACAAATAAATACAATGACCTCTCTGAAGTTAAAATGTGTTAATCTGCCATTTGGGTTGGATTTCGGTGAAATGTAAACACCAAAGAGGCGAGCCGGGTATCTTTATTACTTTATTACTAGGTACTACAACGGTAATAAGAAGAAATATATTATTTTTAATATAAATAAAAAGAAATTGGCAGAAGGTTCAGAAACCAGAAAAAGAATCTAGTATTCCACTTTGTTAGTTTTTGGTTTGCTTTGAGTGGATATACTCTTAAAAGATCCGAAAGTAGCGGGTATAACATGGCGGCTATTGATAGTTAAAGTACCGAGTAATTACAGATATTAAAAAGTAACGAAAATTTACATAATTTCATAAATCTCCGACTGATTTTAGTCTTAAAAACTGTCCGTATAGAGGTGTCCGGTGAAGAGACGTGTCCGTTAAGAGAGAGTTTAGTGTAGTGTATTTGTTTGTAATGCTGATAAGGAGAATAAGAGTAAGAGTAAGTTTTTTTGTTTTTTTAATACTAATTAAATATTCGACTAAATAAATTAAACTATTTAATCACTTAAGTATTGTTACACTTTGTTTAAATCACTTAATTCAAAAACCAACTTGTTTACAATACTAAAGTCAATGAGAGTAATTATACGAGTATACATCAAAATCTGAATTACTACTATTCTATAAACTATCAATTCTATATTTAGATCATAACTTCTTATTTAAATCTAAGGTGTATATCTGTCATAACAGTATTTTAAAAATGGGGAGAATTTACTATTGTACAATTCAGCACATTAGACCATTTAAGTCGACACCTTAAAGCGAATTTAAAACAGTCGTATATTCGTGGAATGGAGTATACATAGAAAACTCTAGAAATGGGACTATTTGCATAATACATCATAGACAAAAAATCATTCCATTTATTCCAGAATGTTCAGATAGAAAAAATAGAATGATTCGAACATTATTTATTGCTAGTTTATTCTGGAACGATGAGGAAAGATATATATATATCATGTAATTTGGAGCGTTAGCAGTCAGTCAGTTATCAGTTAGAAGTCAGTCAGTTATCAGTTAGAAGTTAGTTGAGTTATCAGTTAGATTAAGTCAAGTACAGATTATTATTAGTCAGTTAGTTAGTTAGTTACAGATTATGATTAGTTACAGTTGATTAATCAGTTAGTAAAGTGAGTCAGTAAAGTTATAATTCAAGAATTTAGTTACAAGAAGATTATTAATTGAGTTAGGTGAGTTAGTTGGAAGAAATTAAATCACTTACAAGATTATTATTGAGGAGTTAGTTATAACAATTGAAGGATTATTAAGTCAGTTGCATGTGATTATTAATTACAAAGAATAATTAACAAGAATTTATGAGGTTATGAAGAGGTTATTAGCTAGAAGAAGGGATTAAGTTAAATGAATTATTAAGTCTAATACAGTTGAGATTAATTATTACTACAGTAATATAGTTATAGTATGAAGTTAATTCATTGAAGTAAGCATTCAATAATACAACCACAAGATCCAGTATATTTGAAAGTACATTATATGGAAATTACAAGGATATAAATTTATATATTTATATGGTGAGTGGAGATAATTAAAAAGAAACATATTAAAATTGTTGGATAACCAAGGCTGAGTAAGAAAATATCGAGTGGTGATAATAATTTTAATTTTGGAAAAACTTTGGGCGTTCAGTGAAAGAAGGTACCAAATTTTGTTAATAATTTAATAATTGTAAGAATTTCAAATTTTAGATAGTATGTTTTAAATTGATATTGCTTATATTAGATAGATAGGTTTGTTTCATAATAGTTATATTAAAGATAATTTAAAAAAGTACTTACAAACTAATTCTTTGAGAACTGCCATAAAAACCCTATACTTACATATATCATTCAAATTTACTCATAGCTCGTACAGAAACAACACATCATAACAATATATATATATATATATATATAGTTCTTACCTTTTCCCTTATTAATATTTGGGATATTTGCAGACCCAACATTTTACCAATTTCAACTCTATTGTAGTATTTATGAGCCATATTTGGGGCAAAATATTTTCTTGAATATTTTGTTAAAGTTCCTGCTCCAAATATTCTTGGATCATTTGTTTGGCAATTGCTGTCTATTACTAATCTACCTAAAAGTTATTTACGGTTTATCGCATATTTAAGTAATAATCTCAGATACAGAACTGGTCTGAAGATTTGATAAATTAATATTTAAGTTAATAAGCGGTAATTTTTCATATTTGTAAATTTTAATATGTATTATAGATAATTAAAATGCCTTTCGGATAAATCAAGTTATTTATGCAAGACGATAGGAATACTTGATGCTCTACTATATATTTTAATGTTAGAGTAACTAATTATTTATTGCAATTTACTGACAGACTAATTATAAACTTTAAAGCGTGGCTATTTTGTAAGCAATTTAAAAGACATCCAGGGACTTCCAATAAAGGATCAATGTTTTTGGTTCATCATCGATGACTCATCGTTCAAGTCAGCTACGATTGCTCTAGATTCTAGATTGCCATTCGTCTGACAGCTTATCAGTCTTACGCTACATAGAAGAGCTTACCATTCTGATTGGAAATTATTATGGTGAAATCGACAGTTATTTTAAGCTCTAGAAAATACTTCTTTTTCAACTTTATAAGCAATTCTGCTTGTTCATTGGCGGATTAAGACCTCTATGGAAGGTTGTGACTCCATCTTTTGTGCGGTCGTCCGATACTTCTTCTGCCGATTGGTGACTTATTTTGACGACAATTCTTGCTATTTTGACGACACGGGTCTCCTCCATTTTGTTTACGTGGTTATTCCATTCTTTTTTCTATTTTGTGTCCATTCATTTATACACTCTACGTTACATTTTCTTCTAATGTCTTCACTTTTCTTTCAATCTCTCAACGGATTTTCTGTAATTCTTCTCAGTATTCTCATCTCTGCCGTTTTCAGTAGCCTTTGCGTTATCGCTGTGTCGGGTCTTGTTTCTGAGGCGTATCTCATTATTGGTGTTACACTGGCTTTAGAAATTCTTGACTTCATCTCAATGTCAATGTTTCGCCATATAGTGTTATTAAGGCATCATGCCAGTCTATTTGCTTTTTGTACTTGATCTCTCACTTCTTTGTCCAGGTCTCCATAGCTAGACAGTGTAATTTCCAGGTATTTTATATCCATTAATTGTTCAATACTGATGCCATCAATTTCTATTTTACATCTAGTTGGTTCTTTGGTGATTACTAATGTTTTAGTTTTCTGAGATCAGAGTGTCATATTAAACAGCGTTGTCTTACGTTAAATCTGTGGACCAGTCTTTGCAGACTATCTTCATCTTGGGCTATCAATATTACGTTGCCTGTGTAACGGTTACAAAAGACTTGAAGCAAAATTAACAATCCACTGCTCTTAAGCTGCACAGTCCTTATTAAAAGAAAACATGATAATTGGTATGTAAGTTTCCGAAAAAAATATATTTCATGCTTCTGACGATCATGCAATCCAGGTTTTTCAATCACAACTTATAATGAATGTATGCGGAAAGTTTCTTGCTTCTTTAGTATCATTGGAGCTGACATATGGTCCAAGACAATCTATGCTTTTGACAGTTTTTTAAATCAGTGTTTTACGTAATTTATCTCCTTTTCGATGTGATAAGACTTTCTCATGTTATTTAACGATAAAGGCTCCGGCGGAAAAGGTAGATTGACAGTATAGTTATGGTTACATAATGGGAAACAAAAATATCCAAATATTATGTTACGCAGACGACGCTGCATTAATCGCCGAGATAGAAGATGAGCTCCAAAGATTAACAAACATCTTCAATACAACAGCCAAGAAACATAATCTGATAATATCAACAGAAAACCCAAATTTATGCCAACATCTAAATACCCTCTACGATGTAAAATCGAAACTGATGGGAAAGTAATAAAGCAGGAAGCAAGGTTTAGATATCTGGGAATATATATAACTAGTAACGGAGATGTTGAAGAAGAAATACGACATTAAAGCTTAAAAGCAAGTAAAACACACAATCTGGAGGAACAAACATCTAAGACAAGACACAAAAACAAGAATCTATAAAGCAGCAATTAGACCTATATTGACATACACGGCGGATACAAGCCCTGACACATCTAAAACAAGACGACTACTAGAAACAACAGACATGAAAATACTCCGACGAATATCAAGGAAAAGTCTGTTGTGTGTGTGGATAGGGAGGGAAGACATACTTGGATGGGTTGGATGGGAAACTGGCTAATCATGCAGCTTTAGCAACATACTAAATACATGCATACAGGGCAAATGTCCGTGATTCGAACCAACCAGATACAGTATTTGCATAACGCGTACCAGAGAGGCCATTTTCAGTCCAGGTGTTTCACTCCAAATGGTTGGATTTGTACACCACATAAGGAGATAGTGGCTCACTAGCTGCATTTCCACACATCATAAGAGAAACGCTACTTTTTGAAGATTTACAAATCGTTCAGGATATTTAACATCACGTTTAGTTAATACCTTTTTTTGTCCGGGATCATCTGTTACGTTCGTCTCATCATAATTAAAAATAGCATGTGGCTTCACATCAGTTAATGTTTGTTTCAAATTTTGTATGTATTCAGCCATTTGGTCTGCATTGAGTGCTGCTCGACTTCTTTTTATGTTTAAGGATATCCTTGCAGTAAGGTCCTTATGACGACTTGAGAATGATTTGACCCAATCAATACTAGGAGTATTATCCTTACAGCGAGTTATTTTATTTCCTTGGCGATTTAAATGAGTCTTGATTATTTGTCGTAATTTCATTCCAGTAACAGGAAATCCACCATCACTAAGACTATGAATGCATTGTACGAAGCACCTTTCCTCTTCATAAGAGATTATTGATGAGTATCCAGGTTTTTATCCAAAAATAATTTAATATATTAATAATAAAAAAAATGTTACAGTGTACTCCTTTTAATTTGTAAAAAATAATTCTCCTTGAAATGTTAAAGGATTCAGCGGCAACTCTTGTACTCATGCTAATATCTTTTATTGCTGACAGACATGCTTTCAAATCTTCTTCTGAGTAGTCTGCATATTTGCGAGATCCCAGTTTCCTTTTATAACGTCTGGGCATTTCCTAAAAACCATTTTCCTATTAACCTTTTACTCTTGGGGACACTTTGCACCACTTGCAAATTAGCGGTGCAAAGTATAACCAATTTCACGTGTTAAGTGCACATGTAAACAATGTTTTTTTGTTATTGATATCCTGGTTTAAAACCGTTATTTTAACAACTAAATATTGCAATAGATTGTGGTATATGTCATTAGACGTGTACTTACCAATTTGTGTCCGCTGGGACTGTCTGCACAGTATGATTTTGCAAAGTTAGACATATTCTAACTGTTGCTGATAGATAACTGGCGACCGCAGAGACAATCGCGCGCGTCTTACTCACGTATTGCGATGTTGCCTATGTTATCTAGAGGTAGTACAAATATATAAACAAAATTGAGAGCGTAGGTTTACAGAAAATATACTTTTACACGTTTGGTGCAAAGTTACCCTACTCAGTACATAGTAACCCCGTTTTACGGTATATATATATATATATATATATATATATATATATATATATATATATATATATATATGCTGTCACTATATTTCCGGGTTTGACTCCGCGTTGTAAAGTGCTGGTTTTCTTGAAAACCATTGTTTTGGCGACGTTTCGGCAAGGTCTCACTTGCCATTCTCAAGCCTGGTGGATCTACTTCTCGTCGTTACTCGATTAGTACAATAATATTATGTTCTGCAGACGACGCCGCATTAATCGCCGAGACAGAAGACGAGCTCCAAAGATTACCTATCTTCAATACAACAGCTAAGAAATACAATATAATAATATCAGCAGAAAAGTAGAAGTGTATGACAAACATTTAAATACCCACTAAATACCCACTACGGTGTAAAATCGAAATTGATGGGAAATAAAGCCGGAAGCAAGGTTTAGATATCTGGGAATAGATATAACTAGTTACGGAGATGTTGAAGAAGTACGACAGCAAAGCTTAAAAGCAAGTAAAGCGGCGGGTTCTCTTAAAGACACAATCTGTAAGAACAAACACCTAAGATAAGACACAAAAACAAGAGTCTATAAAGCAGCAATTAGATCTATATTAACATACACGGCGAGATAGGGGGACAAACAAGAAGATCATGCAATATAGAAGACATAAATGGATGGGTGACAAAACGAAAACAGGACTGGAACACATCAGTAGAATGACAGAGGATAGAATAGTACGAATAGCACGAGATAAGTCACCAAATGGACGAAGAAGTATTGGCAGACCAAGAAAAAGATGGTAGGATAATTCAAACAATTTAGAAGGCTAATATTGAAGAAGAAACAGGCTTTAAAGCCTACATACTAGAAGGAAGAAGAAGAAGATCAATGTGTTCTACATCAGAAACTTTCTAATCTAATCTCGGCGGCAAATAAACCACATGAGTCAGCATTTTCACAATCTGAGTCTTCTTCTAACAAAGCTATTAACTCTTTAGTAGTTAGTGCCATCTTCATTTCATATTTCGAGAATTTACTGAAATAAAAATTGCACTACTATATAAACATTCACTAGCATTCACCTAATAATAGTTTAGCTTACTTCACATTAATTTATATGAACTTCTTTAATACATTTTCATATTTATATAAACAAATAAACACAAGGAAACTTTCAAATTAAGTTAAAAAAAAACAAATATAACGTTTACAGCACACATCAATTCTATAAATAGAGAATGATGTGTAATGATGTGTTATTAAAATTGCAGATTGTTTTTAGTCTAATGAAAAAAAAATAAGTATTTTCCAAAGTTATCTTTTTTTTGAAGTTCTGCATTAGATACTCTCTAACAAGAATAAAATTTTACTTTACTTTGTTAGACAACTATAAGATACCTGTTAAAAGAGACATGATAATTTACTAATTAAATCGGTCTTAGATTTAATTTTTAAGTACTAATCGAGTAACGACGAGAAGTAGATCCACCAGGCTTGAGAATGGCAAGTGAGACCTTGCCGAAAAGTCGCCAAAACAATGGTTTTCAAGAAAACCAGCACTTTACAACGCGGAGTCAAACCCGGAAAAATAGTGACAGCACATATAGCTCCCGCGGAAACCTCAAAACAAACATATATATATATATATATATATATATATATATATATATATATATATATTCTGGAGATAATTCGAAAACACTTTTATCAAATTTTTTTTGTAAATATCTCAGCAAATATTAGTATACTATTCTATACTAAATATGTTTTACCATCATAAACTAATCCTGCATTGTTAATAACGTTGTATACTCTTGGACTGATTTCCTTTTCGTTAAAAACAAACATGGCCATACATTCAACTTCCAGCATTTTATGTCTTGATTCAAATTTAATTTTGGTAATGTAATTACTCTCTGCATCGTATGTCCAATCAATGAAGTAGTATGAAGAATATATCTGAAATGAATCTATAATAGTATATTAACGACTATGATAAATACCTTAGATATTATGAAACAGTAAAAAACACAGCGCCACTAGCGAGTGTAGCAAGTGAATACTTTATAGGCTCACTAGATTAGATCAAATAGATCTGATCATTAATAAACTTGATAAAATTGAACAGGAAAATGCGCAGGAAAAAGTCGCTGAAACAAATTTTGATGTATTTTCTACTGAACAGTCTAAAATCTAAAAATCTGCTCTATAGGGATATTGGCGATAGAGAATTGGTTGAAAATCCGATACATCAGGGCCAATAATATGCTTATAGAGCAGGACTCTCTACGGAAACGGCACTGCACCATCTCAGTCAGAGGGTAGAGTGCGTTCTGACAACCAAGAGATTATGCTGGGATATTTCTCGATATAGATAGATAATTTGACAATCCCTCCTGTGAAGCAATATCATGGGCGTTTCGGCTAAATATAATTGAAAAAAAAAGCTGAAGGTGGATAGAATGCATGCCGAATATGAGTATGATATACGCTTTTGTTCTGTGGAATCTAGCACAGATGGTTTGATCTGACGTCTTAGCAACGACAAGACATCAATAGGCTCTGCTTGAGGTTATAAAATGGACTCAATAATAAATGAATAAATGAAGGGATTAAGATAAACTACATGAAATTTACCAAAAGGAGAAATTTAGATCTACAAAGTGATCACTATCTACATGTAAAGAAGACATAGAAGATCTACAGATTGATGACAACGTAACAATCAAAGGAAAGGATAAATTCAAATACTTGAGGTTTATAATCACAAAAAAGGCAACAACAGAGAAATAAATTACACTAAGATTAAGATTAGGACAAACAAGAACAGCAATCCGACAACTTAACTCAGTATGGTGGGATAGACCCCTAAATATGAAGACAAAAGCACAGATTTATAAAACATTAGTGCGAAGTATTACGACATATGGGGCTGAAAATTGGATTATAAATAAGAAAAACAGCAGTAAGATAGTAGCAACAAGAGATGGAATGCCTGCCAAGATGCTGCAGACTAACAAGAATGGATCGGAGTAGTATAGACGAAATAAAGCAAAGAACATCAAAAGAAACAGACATATTAACATATATAGAACAAAAAAGACTGGTGAGGTGAAAAAGAAAAGTGGTATGAACATGTAAGAAGAACTAGCGACAGCAGATGGATAAAGAGAATAACCGTAGGAAGGAGGAAAAGAGGACGACCCCGAAGATCCTGGAGGAACGAAGTAGATAACGCCATGAGTAAGAGAGGCCTAAATATATATATATATATATATATATATATATATATTTACGGCATAAAGTGAACTCCGCCCATGTTAAAATTCAGGTTCAACTGAGCTCCGTGGTCAAGTGGACACCAATATACGGAGCTCACTTGACCATTCCATAATATTGGCTCTGTTGATTCGTTAAGATGTATAGTTTCATAATTCTTAATAAAATTTTGGAGCTCATAAGTACCCCTGTATCATAAATGTATTTCGCTTAGTTCACGTGTATATATTATAGGGGTCGTTCAGATCTTCTTGACTGTATATTGGAACCATAAGAATATCGGTTTAAGTAAGCTCTGATAGTTTGGCAACTATGCAATTAAGCCGTAGAGCTCCAGCGTTCTTGATATATACATTTTATATATTTTAAACGGTTTATACGGACTCCTGATTTTTTTATCATTCATACACATTGCAATATGTAATAGATATGTATACTACCAAATACCTGTTTTTGGTAGGTACATGCTGTTCTAAAAATAGCTTTATAAATACAAAAGGATTTCATTACCAAATTGGATGTGTTTTTCATATGCTGAAATTTCCTAATGTATTTTTTAACATGAGTATGTCTTTGTACGATTTATTTAAGGATAGGATTAATAAGAATGTCTTTTATTTCATCCATTGTTTTACGATATCTTTTATACAGCTTCTTTATTATTTTATTTATGATTTTTTCTGTGTACTACATATTATTATAATTCTAGATGGGTTATCTTAAAATAAATATTTAAGTGCTAAAAGTGATATTTTCTTATCTTTTTTTTTTATTTCTTGCAATGTGTATATGTGTTGATCTGGTCAGTGTTTTCTCGATTTTAGTCATAAATTGGTCTGGTATTCGTTGAGTGGATGTTGCGATTCTAGACTTTGTATCTTTTATTCTATAGATACTTATCTTCGGATATTAGGTGAATTGATAGCTAAGATATTGTAGAGCTTATGTATGAATGTGTGTGTCTTAATATCCGCTGAATTTGGCTGACTAATTTATAGCTAAATCTACGTGTTAAGTATGTGTTGGTATCATCTATACTTACAAGGTATATTCGGCAGCAGAAGCATAGAGTGCAAGCGTCTACGTTTTAAGGATGGAAGGATGCGCTTCTTAGCAATTTAGCTGACAAGTTTTCAGAGATTACTTTTCTGGTCCTCAGTTTACCTCTTAGTTTTAAACAAAGTTCTGTGAATGACAAAGTTTGATTCAAACTATCTTCAAGGTATTTATAGCAAGTCCAGAGTTTAAAAATTTCATGATACTATTGGATGTTTAGATTTGTAAAAGCGTCTCTGTTAGGGACATTAAAGTTTTTTGTTGTGCAACAATATAGATCGTCTACCTAATAAAAGTTCTAGTATTTACTGGTATCTTCTTCTTAAAGTGCCTATCCGTTCCGGATGTTGGCGATCATCACGGCTATTTTTACTTTGTTCACTGCAGCGCGGAACAGTTCAGTGGTAGTCGTGTTATACCACTTTCGTAAATTTTGAAGCCAGGAAATGCGTCTTCTTCCCGGTCCTCTCTTACCATTAACCTTCCCTTGGAGAATTAGCTTAAGAAGGCCGTAACGTATTTACTGGTATGAATTGTGTAAATATTATACAGTGTAGGTGCCATTACGCTACCAAAAGGAGACCGTTCTTCTGCGTTGTCCATCTGTTATTTTTACCATTATGTAATACGAAAAATCTTCTGTTGTGTAGGCATACGCGGATAATACAAGTGAGTTTATTACCTAAGGCAATGTCACAAAGATTTTGACAATGCCCTCTAATTTAAGGTGTCGTAAGCGGCATTTAGATTGACAAATACCACTCCTCATACCTGATATCTTTCGTACCCGTCTTTGCTGTGTTGGGCATGATTTAGTATTTTTGACGTACGTGATCTTCCCTGTCTATTGCCACTTTAGTCTTTTAATTTGAGTTTTTCTTCTATTATCAGTAAAATTATATTAAGGATCACGTGCAGAAGTGTTTTTTATAACTGACAGAATAAATAAATATATTGGCCGATAGCTTTTGTGGAGTTTTTGCCAGGTTTAAGTAAGGCAATAACTTTCTCTTTACTTTGCTTGTCTACAGACTTTGGATATCAGCCCTTGTTGTATTTTTGATCCAAATTTTAGAGTTAGTTTTGTGCTCAGATCCTTAGTTAGGAGCCGTAATATTGTTTATTATATACATAGATAGCAGATCCAAGCTCAACATCGCACTGTTGAAAGGTTCCCTCGGCTGACTGGTTTTGTCCCCTCTCATTTTAAGTTTTTCTTTGCTTCTTTATCGACATTTTATTATGCGATTTTTAGCGATCAGCTTAATACCAAATACAATATATTTGGCCCTCAATATGTTTCTTCTTCTTCTTGCAGTAAGTCTTCTATCGGAGGTTGGCTACCATCACAGCAATCTTTACTTTGTAGGCTGCAGCTCAGAACAACTGTATTGAACTGCACCCATACCACTCTCTTCAATGTCGCAACCAGGAAATACTCCTACGTCTTATATTTCTCTTTTCCGAGATTTCTCCTTGGATTATGAGTCTAAGCAGAGGGTACTATTCTCCTCTCATTATGTGGCCCAGATATTCAAGTTTTTTCGATTATATGGTTTTTACGACTTCGTATTCCTTCCCCATCTTCAGCAGAACATCTTGATTTGTAACTCTTTCTGTCCATGGTATTTTCCACATTCTTCTCTAACACCACATCTCGAATGCCTTAATGTTTTTTATGTTTATCTTTTTTAGTGTCCAGGCTTCCATGCCGTACAGCAGATCGGAGAAAACATAGCACCTTAACATTATTGTTCTTCAGTTTATATTTATGTCCCGGCTGCATAGGAACTTTTTCATTTTGACAAACGATTGTCTCGCTATCTCTATTCGCCTCTTGATTTCTCTTGTCTGGTCATTAGTATCATTGAAGCAAACCCCTAAATATTTGTAGGACGTTACTCTTTCAACTGGCTGATAATTTATGATTAAATTCATATTGGTGTATAGCTTATTTGTTACAATCATGAATTTAGTCTTTTTGATGTTCAGTTCTAGACCATACTAATTGGTATGAGTGTTTATGTTTTCCATCAAAAACTGTAAATTTGCTAGGTTATCTGTTACTATTAGCGTGTCATCAGCGTATCGTATATTGTTAATTAACTCTCCGTTAATGTTCATACCAATGTTTTGCTCTAGGAGCGCTTCCTGATATATTGTTTCCCTATATATATTGAATAATAGTGGAGAAAGCACACAACCCTGACGCACACCTCGACGAATCTCAATTTCTTCGGTTAACTCATTATCAACTTTGATTTTTGTTGTTTGTCCCCAGTACAACCTGGATATGATGTTAATGGCGCGACTGTCGATGTTTTTGCTTCTTAGGATTTCATACAGCTTTTGGTGTCTGACTTTATCGAAGGCCTTCTCAAAATCTATGAAACCTACGTAGAGGTCTTGGTTTACTTACAAACATCTTTGAATTAACACACTCATACCAAACAAAACTTCCCGTGTTCCCAGTCCACCTCTGAATCCAAACTGTGTGGTGCTTATGTCCTCTTCTAATTTATTAAATATTCTTTTGTGAATTATTTTTAAAAATACTTTTAGTGTGTGGCTCATCAATGCTATAGTTCTTTGGTCTGAACACTCTCTGGCGTTATTCGTCTTCG